ACAGGGATTTTAAATCCCTCCAGGGATGGGGATCCACCCCTGCCCTGGGCAGCTGTGCCAGGGCTGGACTACCCTTTCCAGGAAGAACTTTTCCCTAATATCCAATCTCAACCTGCCCTGACACAGCTTGAGGCCATTTTCTTCTTGTCCTGCTCCTTGCTCTCTGGGAGATCAAACCTCTCCTGGCTCCCCCCTCCTGTCAGGGAGTCGTGGAGAGCGAGAAGGTCCCCCCTGAGCCTCCTTTTTTCCAGGCTGCTGTTTAGGAAGAACCAAACCAGAGGTGCCAGCAGGAAATTACCCTACATCACACTGAGCTGGTGGCCACAACCAGGAATCCTTTGCTGACATCCCAAGTCCCTCAGAGCCATCGCTCCAGCGCCGTGGCAGGACAGAGGACAACCACACTGTGTCCCACAGATGCCTGCACACACACACACACACACGAGTCAGACACCTCCAACCAACTCTGAGCTCTGGTAGTGATTCTTCACCTTGCCCCCCCTCCCTCCAGGGCACACGGTTTCTGTCTGGAAGATCTGTGCCTTGTCTCCTCTTGGATCCCAACCGAGGCCCGCACATGGCTCGGAGCTGCCTCCAGAAACCCATATGTGCACTTACAGACCATAATAAGAGCCGTTGTGCCAGGAGCGCGACAACATTCCTGCCACAGAACCCACACAGGAAAAAAAAGAGGCAAGTTCTGCACAGGAGGGTTTGAAGAGGAAATCCCCCGACGGGATGGGGCACGTTGGGACGGCTGATACAATCCAGCATCCTGCTCTGCTTGGATTGGGGTTTTGGGGCGGGTGATCCGCTGAGTGCAGGAGTGTCACCGGTTTCACACTCAGCCCGACGGGCACATGACCCAAACCAAGAGTCTTCTGGCCACCAGCACACCTCGAATTCCGTGCAGGGGATGGAAAATCCAGCTGTGCCGTGCCATCAGCCGCTCCGCAATCCCCGGGATCGTCTCGCTGCTCCAGGGATGACACATACGGCAGACTTGACTCCAGCTGGCCCCATTGTATTGGATCCACAGTGACAGACAACAGGAGCCAGAAACTTTTTGTTCGAGTGGAGCCAGCAGATGTGACACTGAATAAACACAGACAGTCAATCTGCTGAGTAAGAAGGTATCGTTCATATAAATAACATACATCTAATCCTGCTTCCATTTTAAACCCAAATATGGGAATGCAAGATGCTCGGAGCTCTGCAGACTTCGGCTCTGAACAATGAGATGAAAGCAAAGGCAGATAACACACAGCCCCTTCTCAGCTCAGCTTCCCTCTTATTTCACTTTCCTGCCTGGAATTATTATCAGATCCTTCTCCGGGAAGAGCTTCCCACGGAGCGTTAACAGTGCGTCCAGGTTAATGGCAGATGGGATAAGTTTTGCCTTATCAAAATACCTGCTGCTGCCAGTGGGCCTTAATTACAGAGCAATTAAAAGTATTACTCCAACCATTCTGACCTCACAGGTTTCAAAAACCAGGCGTTGCACCCACTGAGGGGTCTTCTCGTGGTCCTGCTGGCGACAGGACCTGTTGGCCTCTGAAATGACACATTCCCCACTCGCTGGAAGAGTTTGCAAATTTGCAGCTGCCAAAAAAAATGATTTCATTAGAGAGCCGGTAATGAGGTGAATTAGCCCAGGAGAAAAGCTCCTCTTTAGAGGTGGCTGCAATATTGACACAAGGTCGGGGCCTCGTTTCAACTCATCCGCCCTCAGAAAGCAGGAAAAACCCAGAGGTGAGTTTGATACAGATAATTATTCCACCAGAAGCCACGAAAGATAAAAGCACAGGTACAACATAATCCCCCCCAGGGATTACTCCTTCAGCACCCCTGGAAGACAAGGAAATTTTTAATTGTGTTTAAAAAAAATCTGCCTCGCCGAAAAATAAATGAGTAAGAGAGGAGTGTCACTGAGACTAATTACACTCGGTATCACTCGATTCCCCACTCAGAGGGAACACTCCATCCTTCCCCAAAACACAGCCACCAGTAGGATGTGACAACACCACCATTTAAAAAAAAAAAATGGAGGTAGAAAAATAACATATTATTACGTTTTCCATGGGATTAACCTCCCCTCTCCTCAGAGACTCATTTATCTATTTTTCCTCCCCCCCCCATTTTCTAGTGAGCTCCTCCAAGACAAACAGCAATTTATTTGTTCCCTGAGAACCCTGGGCCTGGAAGATGCAGCCATCTGTCAGCGGGAAGGAGCTCTCCGAGCTCGGCTCTGTCTCATCAAACCCTTCCTAGAGTTTCATTTGCCACCTCAGTTACCAAAGGAAACCAAACAGCTTTGAGTTCTACCCATAGACACACGACTTATTCCAGAGCAATAAAACTCCATCGAGTTCACCCAGATCCTCCACACACAGGATGCAGGTTTGGGAATTTTGCCTCCTCCCTGTATTGTATAAAACCCAGAGTTTGGTCCTGCACTGTGCACAGTGAGTTCCCCAGATTAAAATACAGAAATTAAAAATTCCATACATTAAAAATAAAATAAATAGATTAAACTGTACACTCGCACACAACGTATTAAACGGAGATGGGAGAAAGGTGAGGACTATTGTTAAAATATGGAAATTAAATTAAGAGAAATTTGAACTAAGCAGAACTGGGTGGATGATCTCCACCCAAAAGGATTCTCCAAAGAAAGAGGTAAAGAAAACAAGCTGAGACATAACAAAACCCACCAAAAAGATGGGCAAAATCACCTGTTTCTGTCCTACCAGAACCTCTGTCCAGGTGACCCTGACCTGGGAGCACCTGGTCCAGGTTCCTCCTCAAACATCCCAGGGAAACACAAGCTTTATGGGAACACCTCCCAGGAGGACACACAGCAAATATGAGCTCTGCAAAGCTTTCCAGTGCAAATTCCCCTGGTCAGAGAGGGGATTTCACCACCAGCACAGGCTGGAGGATTCCCCACGCTGCCAAAAATGTTTCTTTAACTCTCACTGCCTTGCACTGAACACAGAATCATGGAATGGGTTGGGTTGGAAGGGACCTCTTGAACACTAAACCTCCCCTAAAGTAAGAGCAGCTCCAAGCCTTTTCATGTGCAGGATTGGTTTTATTCTGGAAAAGTGTTCACATCCTCTTCAAACCACAAAAATCTCTCAAATCTGCAAAGTGCTCTGCATCCTCAGGTGATCCTGTGATTCCTCCTTGGAAGGGTGATGTCCTGCAGCTGTCAGGTCACCTCCTGGAGCTGAGCTCCACGTGGAGGTTGGAGGCTTGGGAAAACTCATCTCAGACTTGATCTGAATCTTCAGTTTGATGGTGGGAGAACAGCTGCTTTATTTTCGGCTGCTCTCCTGGCTGCACAAACAAAGCACTCCAAATTAACATCGTGATACACCTTATGCTTAGGTTTTTTGGGGGAAAAAATTGCTGATTTAGAATTAAAAGATTTCCTCCCACCACTGGCAGCTCAGCTGAGCAGTTCAGCTCCCTGGGGCTTGAGATTTGCCCCAGGGAAATATATTTTCACCTTAAAACTACTCCACCTCAAAACAACGAGAAACAAAAAGGGAAAAAGTGAAAAGGAAAAAGGAAAAAGCAGCTGCCCCTCACTGAAAGCAAAATCCCAAGTTTTCTGGCCAACAGGCAGGATCACAAGCAGAAATATTCCTTCTGTGTGTTCCCCATTCACTCTCGGTCCCTACTTCGTGAAAGCAAAGAACTGAAATAATTCTGGACAACACTAAATGGAAATAAAGGACCAGAAATCCAAAATCTTGCTATAAACAGGTTAGCAACAAAGGAAAAACTATAGAAAAGGTCTTTCTGAGTGCAAAGCTTTCACATCCTCCATGGAATTAATATTTGCTCTCTCATCTCCCCCCCACCCCGTTTTTTTTTTTTTTTCCATGAAGAGCCGGAGGAATTTTCCTTCTGGGAAGGTTAAATGAGTGGCAAGTTTGCCAGAAACCAGTTGAGGGGCTCACCAGTTACCAGAGGGAGATGGGAGGTGTGGATTCACTGAGGGATGACACCAAGCGAGTTTCAGTTTGGGTTTAACAGTTGGGCAATCAATCAACTGCGAGACACAAATCCACTGGAAACCTGGGTTTCATTACTTGTGCTGTTCACAGAAGAGATTGTTTTTAATCTAAGGCTGCCTAATGACCAGCACTTTCCCCAAACCCAAGGTGTGTACATTTTACCTCAGTCACAAAGAGAGTGCGGGGGTCGATGATGTCCAGGAAGTGCCTGAATCTGCCATAAAATGAAGTCTGGAAAAAAAAACAGGAAAAGGAAACAAAACATGGTCAGGGAGAAATTGCCTTTCACCTGCTGCAGAGAAAGGTTTTATTTCCTTTGCAGGATTAAGTAGCAGCTAAAAATAATTAATATAGAATGTATTTAAAGGGAATTTTCGATAGGATGTCTGGAAGGAAAAGGTGAGGATTGAACCCTGATAATGGGACACCAGTCCAGATGCTTTAATAAAGGGATAACACCAAGCTGCTAAAATATGGTTTACTTTTTCCCCCCAAAATGAAATATTGCCTGTGGGACTCCTGGGAAATGCCAAAGCCACAAAAATCCAACATGTAGCTCCGGATTTCCCACACTGAGCAACATTCCCAAGGGAATTCCCATCCTGCAATAACACAGTCCCCGTGCTGCTCACCCTCATTCCTGCCAACATCCACCTCACAGGACCAGCAGCACCACGGGGCCATGGATTTTGGGGACAGACCACCATGAAGTGAGAGGCTGTGGATTCCCCATCCCTGGAAGTGTCCAAGGCCAGGCTGGACAGGGCTTGGAGCAAGCTGGGCTAGTGGAAGGTGTCCCTGCCCATGGATAATCTTCAAGCAGTCCCTTCCAACCCAAAGCATTTCAGGATTCTCTGGATCCCTTTCCGGTCCTTCCAACACTTGCTGCTCCCAGCAAGAGCATCTTTCCCCAGCGTTATCCCAACCCAAACACAGCCAGCTTGGATTATTCCACATGTGCCTGTAAGAACAAGCCCAGCTGACCAGCTTGCTCTGTCCAGCCTGGCCTTGAACATTCCCAGAACCAGGAAGAGAGTCTGAAAGAAGGGGGAGAGATCTGTGAAACGGGATGGGAAGATCAGGGGCAGCTCCAAAGGAAAGGGGAGAAGGAGGCTCAGTATTTAGAAAATAAAACCGGAATTTATGCGAACCCAAAGCACCAGACCATGAAATGTCGATTTATTAAGAGCACTCAGGATACATTTACATCATCACTCCAACATCAGTCTGGATTCTTTGACCTGGATGCAGGTGAGTGCCAGACCCTCACCTGGACACCAGCAAGGCCAAGTGGACACAGGACACTCTCCTCTGTCCTGTGGCTTCTCCCCAGCAAAATTCCCAGCACATCATGGATGTGGAAAAGAGATCAGGGATTTCCACATCCCCTCAAACCCCAGGACCCCCCTGTCCGGGCGTTCTCCAGCCACGTGCCGGCAAATCTCCGGCTGCGTTTCTGAACACAGGGATGTGCTATAAATAAAGGCCTGAAGCGTGGATACAGCACCGAGAACAGCATTTAATCACTGCCTGGCAGCGCTCTCCGAAACGTGCTGCTTCTCCTCTGCTCCATCCATCAAGCACAGAGAAATACCAGGCATTCTGCCCTCCTGGTTCCGGCAGAAATCCCTCTCCGAGGGCCGTTCCCAGAGCCCCTCGAGCTGCAAACCCCGTCCTCACAAACGCCTCACCACACCCCTGCTCACAAAACTCTCTCTCTCTGTTATTTTTCCACCTTCTGCACTTTAAAAAAAAAAATAAAAAAAAGAAAAAAAGAAAAGCCCACAACGAATCCAAATCTCTGCACACAACTTTGGGGGGGGGGTGGGGAGGGAAGAAAAAAAAGCACAGCGGTTTTTAATTAGCATGGATTTAATTAACACTAATTCCGGTACTTTCGAGCTTGACATTTTGCTGCCTCGCTTCTTATTTTGAGGGTGAAGCTCCCCTGCAGATGCCACTGCCCTTCCCACCCTTGCCATCGCCGCGCTGCCCGGTGGTGCAGGGAGGGGGGTGAGTAATCCCTGACTCACCCGGCCCCTCCTGCCGCTCTCCCCGATCCTCAGCTCCCACATCCCATCAGCTCTCTCCCACTGCCCAGCCCTCAGCACCTGCTCAGCGCCAAGCAGGCACTGGAGAATCCACAGCAGTTGGGATTATGTGGT